ATCGATCAGTCAGTCAATAGCAGACTGAGCACAAATGTTCCGTTGTTTGCAGCTGCTGAGATAACGATTGCCTCTATATTGCGTATTATAGCCAGTTTCCTATCACCGTGTTGACTGTCTCCTGTCTCCTGTCCTGTCCTGTCCTGTCCTGTCCTCTCCTCCCCTCTCCCCGTCTCCCTCTCCTCTCCTCTCCTTCACACCTGTACATATCGAATCCCCGGATTCAGCCGTCCAAACGTGTACAGGATCCTAGAGATGGCTTTTTGATGCCCTCCTGATGGAGAAGTAAGGGCGGGAGGGGAAGCGAGGAGGACGAGGAGCAGGCGGTAAAATGCCCAAGAGGAGGAGACGGCAGGGGAGGAGGGAAGGGGGACGGAGGGACTGGGAAAGGAGGGGTGAAGTAGCGACAAGGGTGTCAGGAGATGGGGGAACGAGGGGAGGCAGCGCGTTACCCTGAACCATGTCCCCTTCCTTTTGAGCCTTCAGCTCCGTCCTGAGAATTTCTGCCGTCAGGGGCGCAAGGAGGAGGAGGTAGCCTCCTACTCGCTCAGAGTCCCGAAGTTCTCGCGGAAGAAGTGAAGGTCAGGCCAGGTCCTCTTGGTGTCCTTGTTGATCTCGTCCTGCGCCATGCGGTAAGAGGTCAAGTGGAGCCTTCCTCCTCCTCCACCTCCTCCTCCTCCTCCTCCTCCTCCTCGACTTCCTCCCTCCCCTCGCCCCAACCACCAAACCACCTCCACCTCCACCTCCATTTGGTTCTCCTCGCAGTGCCAGCCCCCCCCTTTCCCTCCGGTTCCCTTCCTCCTTATCCTCCTGCTCCTCCTCCCAGCTCTCCCACTCCTCCAGTACCATGAGGTTCTTGCTAGCGAGTTGCGACTTCTTGACAGCATCGTCCTGGCGACCTGTCGCAGTGGGAGACTCGCAGTCTTGCCTGTCACCATGCAACCGTCAGCCCGTCCGCGTCTCTGCCAGCGATCGTGTCCGACCATTCTGAAGAGTCTTTCCCCACGGCCACAAGGTCCTGGCTGAACTGCAGGAGAGGGGTCAGATCACAACAGGAGAGAGGGAGGAGGGAGGAGGGAGGAGGGAGGAGTGAGGAGAAAACAGGGAGGAGGGAGGAGAAAACAGGGAGGAGGGAGGTAGGAGGAAAGAGGGAGGAGGGAGGATGGAGGATGGAGGAGGGAGGAGGAGGAGTTGGGAGGAGGAGGAGGAGGAGGGAGGGACCTCGGAGTAGAAATTGTGGAAGCTTGTCCGGCTCTGATGCAAGATCTTTGATATCACCATCGTCAGATAGACTTTCTCGAGGGGGGACGCGAAGTTGAAGAGATCTACCTCCATCCACTTCCCCTTGTCTGGAGGGAGGTATCCCAGAGTTATCTTCCAGTAGCGAGACCTTGACGTTGGTACCATCAGCAGTAGCAAGCGTGCAAAAGAATGATTGCAGCTGTCTTCTTTGAAGATGTCGTGATGATCATCATCCCCATCATCAATATTGTCGTCATAATCTTCATCACCATCAACATCATCATCACCACCTTCTTCTTCGTCTGCATCATCATCATCATCATCATCATCATCATCATCATCATCATCATCATCATCATCATCATCATCATCACCAGCATCATCATCATCATCATCATCATCATCATCATCATCATCATCATCACCAGCACCATCATCATCGCCAACAAGACAGTCCTGCTCCTCCTGCTTCTCCTCCCTACCTCAAATCCGTCTTGTCGTCTGGAACCCCAAAGAAACCTTCCAACCCAGTCACATATCTTCCCTTATGCCCGCTCGTCTCCTCTCCTACCTGCCCTCCTGAGCTGCACCACAGAGATCGGCTGCTGGCCGAGAGCTGAGAAGAAGGCTTCTGCAGCTCCGTTCCTGCCATCACTATCAGCGACGGTCACTTGCTGCCAGCCTCTCTCCCACCTCTCCTTGATATACACCTCTCGTTGCAGCCCCTTCACCCCAGCACCCGCCTGCTGACCCTGCACCATCTCCTGCATCGTCTCGTGGATGATCGCCTTTCCTGACGCGTAGCTCGTCTCCCACATGCTCCTGCGCGCTTGCCTGTCAGCCCCCGAGCTCGCTCTCAGCAGCAGCACCGGATTTCCTTCCGCACACCAAGGAGCGACATGTCATGGAATGTCGGCTTCCACGCCACCTCCAGCTCGTCCTGTCCTGCGCTTCTTGCAGCACTGCCTTGAGATGTTTGATCAGAAACATCTTCCCACCCTTCTTCTGCTCCTGCTGCCGAATTCTTTCTTCCCGCCTCGCCATCTCGACGACGGCTCTCCCCAACTGATTCCTTGGCAAACAGGTCTGACCTCCTCAAGTCCTCCAACCCAGCAGGAAGAGTTCCTGCTCCATACACCTTCACAGACTTCGGCTGCTCCGCTTCCGCTTCCCCGCCCTCTCCCCTCCCAGCATTCTCGTCTAGATCGGCTGCCTCGAGTTTGTTTCGTAGGTTCGTCACTAGGAATTCTCCAAACTGAGTCACGCGCTCTATCTGTACATGCCTGTCAAGTCGACATGGTGAGATAGAAGTGAAGCATACGCTCGACTCGATGTGGTGTATCACTCTCTTCGGATTCGCCTGACGGCGCTCAGGTTCTGCTGGCATGTATGAAGGTTCATGTTGAGCATTCATGGGGAGGTTACCGTGTTCATCCTCGTCCTCGTATGCTGCAACTGGAGCAGGAGACTGCAGCACGGGATCAATGATGCAAAATATGCCGCCATCATTACAAACCTGCTGCAGCCCACGGGACAACCGGTCGCGTAGAGAATTCAGCATGGGTTACTTGGAGTTCTCACCATGTTCGAAGTCATCTTAGAGATGCTGAAGGGAGTTTGGACGCGATCTCCCTGCCTTGACAGTCGATGGAAGATGTTTATCACATTCTTAGCATCGCGGCTGCTCTCCCTCCCCTCCTTCACCCCCCCCTCCCCCGCCTCTCTCTCTTTCCCGCCATTGTCGGGCAGTACAGTCTGGATACTAATAAATGTTGTTATTCGTTTTAAAATTTAGTTCATTGTGCTTTTTTTAGACTTTTGGTTTTTTTTATAACATTTTAAAAGTACATAGGGTACATTTTGTAAAACAAATTGTACTATTTGTAGTATAGCTATATTATTCTAATGTGTGCTCGCCATGCCGCTGAAAATCTTGGGAGAGTTGGGGAGGGAAGAGGAGAGGAGTAGAGGGAGGAGAGAGGAGAGAGGAGAGAGGAGAGAGGAGAGAGGATGAGCGGTAGGATGCAGATGATGATCTGGACGATGATAGAGCAGAGCAAGGGTTCGAGATGGCATTGAAAAGAGTGAACAAAGTTGAATGTAGTCAAGGGGGTTCAGAACAGGCGTTGGACGACAGCAGCAAAAGTTGACCCGTTTGCTTTGCAGGCATTCAAACAATGGCCTTGCACAATTTCACAAGACTGATCAACGTGTTTGCTCCCGTCATTCATCGATCGATCGTCCGAACGTATTCTGTTTGCCCTTCCGTTTGTTCCACCAATGACGATGTTCCTCAGGCTAGCAAATAGTCCGCTATTCCAGAAGATCGCATGGGATGGCACACAGATGGTGAAGGGTGCGGCTACCAAGAGCGCAGAGGAGCTCAAGAAGTCGGCGCTCTATCGCACTGCAGCGTACAGGATGATGGAACACACCACAAAGGTGAGCGGCTAACATAATACTTGTTCCATTCGAGGGTGACGTAGTTCGTAGCTCAAGCACACAGAGGCGTATCAGCAGATTCAATCAAGTCACGGCTTCCAAAGTTTCCAGAACTTCATGCAGAACTTCATCCAGGAGCTCAGGAGAAACCGGATCCTCTAGAGATGACTGCGCCTTCAACTGTCTTCCCTTGTACATAAAGCCGAATGAAAGAATATCACTGAAGAGCATGTTCACTTCCTCGCGTCTCAAGCCACGCTTGCAGATACGGCATTAACACTTGTTGCGCGTATGAAAGGCCCTGAAGACCTTGTCTCAGAGCAGAGCAATCAACAGTCTCCTTCCACTCTCTCACCTCCAATGCACTCTCGTCTACTCCTTCCTCGGTATCCAGCAGCCCCAGCCTGCAGAGCAACGAGTGAGAGGATGGTGAGGGGAGCAACGTTGATCTCACAGTCTGACAAGAGCCGTGAAGCAAGTATGCCACACCAACTCATCCCCTTCGTTCTGAGCTCGGACAGGTTAGTGAGAACACAGTCGGATCGAAGCACGATTGTACGTTCTTCAGGCATTCGAGGAGGGCGCTATTTACATCGTCCCATCGCTTCTTGTCCTGGACCAGAACTCTAGAAGCGGACGGGAACGCAACAGACTGCGAGCATGGTGGGAGGTTGAACAACAACAAGCAACTCTACCTCCAGGGTCTTGACCGCTCGAAAGAGAACTAAGGACTCTAACGTAGCGTGTCTTGCAGTCCCCATCTTCATCCCCTCGGGTCAAACACACGTCGTCTTGCCCCATCCTAAAACTTCACCTGGGAAAGCACTTCGAGGGCAGGAACGGCGATATAGTCCAGTTCACGGGCTGTCTCATCGCTGGTCCAGAGCAGTCAGGGGATACGATCGCGGCGGGAGTGCACGACCTCAACAACGACTCTACATGCGCATGTCGAACGCTCCCCTGTTTGCATTTCTGGTTCCTGACAATCTGCACGACCAGAGTGAACAGTTAGCCGGCTGCACGTGCGAGTAGCAATTCCCCCCCCCCCGCCCAACCTGTAGCATGCAGTCGATGACTCGGCTGTCTCCTTCAACTGCCAGGGACTGTTCGCAGACACGGTGACGAGGCAGACATCGCGATAATGCTCCCTCTGTCAAACCTGGAGGGATCGCACGCACTCCAGCTTCACTTCCAACGAGTTGTCCTTCATGGCCGACAGGAGCGCGTCTATCACCTGCCGTCGACGCCGTCAACCCATGGCAGCGAGCAAGGAAAGAACTGACGTCCTTGTCCCCCTTCTCAGCGACGAACGCGAGGATCGATGCGGCGGAAGCTCTTCAGTGCTTCGAGTCAGTTCACAATCCAGCACGGGGTCTGCTCGCATGGGGGCGAGTCACCTCGCAATCTCGTCCTCATCGTTAAGCCCCACCTGCCCGGTATCTGTCAGAGGTTTCACCGCGCAGGTCCCACACACGTCGATGGATGACGTCAGCATCTTGATCACTCTTGAATCTCCCTTGGGTGCGAGGTCTCCGATGATTCTGATCGCCCTCCTACGAGTGTGCTTGTCCTCGTCGAAGAGCATCTCCGATACTCCCGACAGAACCTGCGACGCCCGTCAGCCAGCAACCAGCCACCCAACAGGAGAGCTCGGGGGTATCAGCAACCCCCCTTACCGCTTCCTCGCTGTCCGAAGACCCCAGTCGCATCCCTCGACTTCCCGCCACCATGGTCAACCGCCCGCACACAAGGAGGCGCTCGCACGTGCACCTGCAGAGACTTGTCTCGATGTCGTCCAAGGCATTTCTCTTCGCTATCGTCTCTGTTTGTTTCAGGTTTTCCACCTGTCTTGACACGTGAGCATTTCTCAGCTCAGCCCCCATCACATTCACCAGCGCGTTCATAATGGCACAATCCCCACTCCCTGAACCGTCTCCGATGCCTGCTAACATCAACGAGTATCTACAAAACATCGTCACAATGACCCGAAATCTTCCTTCCTTTCTCCTCCTCCTCCTCCTCCTCCTCCTCCTCCTCCTCCCCTCCTCACTTCATCCATTGCTGGGTCCTCATGGCAGCTCTTCGTCGTTGAAGGTCTTCCTGCTCATGGTGTCCATGAGCTGCTTCCTGAAACGGCTCCCCCTCCGCGATTGCAGCGAACGTCGCGTTGCCATCCTCCCGCGCATTGATGCTTGCTTTCCTCTCCCTGCGGTGGTCTGGTCGTCCAAGACCCTGCTCGGGCGATCTCGTGGCGGTTTCGGACATCGTTCAGCTCTAGGAGGCGCGAGGCATGACCTGCTCCCTGCATGAAAGGAGTGAGTGATGCTGTAGGTGTCTAGGAAATGATGGCTGCCGGCATCGAAGAGTCTGTTAAGCCCTTGATTCAAGAAGTTCTCTTCCTCTCATGCCGAGTGTGAAGTGGGCCTTAAAACAAACCTCTCTCTATCCAAAACTCATTTGGTCCTTTTAAAACTTTGGCGCCCTCTGTCCTGTCCATTGCCCACTTTTCCCTGTTAATTGTCAACCCAATCATCTTTCCACGTCTAGATGTCATATCCTGTTTTTTTGCACGCACACATTCTACACCAACCATTTCTTTTCATACTGAACGATGTTCTGCTCCTTCTCGAGCTATTTTCATTCGCGCCTCTCTTGTGTTTCTCTCAGACTCTGTTATTTTTCCTCGTCTTCCTCGTCCTCCTCGTCCTCCTTGTCTTCCTCGTCCTCCTTGTCTTCCTCGTCCTCGTCCTCGTCCTCGTCCTCGTCCTCCTCGTCCCCCTCGTCCTCTTCCTCCACCGTTCACATGTCAGGCATGTGACGTCCGCCGATGCCCGATCCCAACCCCGAAAGTCTTTCTGGGGTATTCGACAGAAACGCGCAGATTGTTTCGTTTCACAGACCTAAAACCTGAAGTATTTTAAAGGATACTCTTCTATGCCTTCACGGGTCCAAACAGGGCAATGTCATGTAAAGGGGGTGGGTACTATTTGGTACCAATTAATAATTATTAATTGGAAAGGCCAGATTGATTGGCGGGAAAATAGTACCAAGTATAGCAGTTTGTACGGGGGCGTACTACGGTACTTCAGCAATAATTGTTTGTAAAATGGAATGTAACTTAAATTAGTACCGAAATAGATATTTTTATAATGTTAACAATAATTTAGTAGGCGTTACTATCCATATAATTTGTACTATCTATCTAATTGTCCTACATCCATATATTTCTGCGCGTTTATGTCGAATTCCCCAAGTCTTTCTAGAGAAACTTTGAAACTTTACCCCGTGAAACTTTCAGCCCCCAACTTTGGGTTAAACTTTTTATGAAAAAGATTCGTCTCACTCATGAGTTCTCGGCACTAGCCGCATCTACGATGGCCGCGCTATGAGGGAGGTAGGGAGGAGACGAGGACTCGTCCTCCTCATCTTCATCCTGATGAACTTCAAGGCAAGGTAAGTGCCACTTGGATCTGATCTCCTCCCCTCCTCCTCTCCTCCCGTCCACTCCTCCCGTTCTTCTCTCTCTCTCCCCCACACTCAGTCCCCTTTCTGCTGAATCTCATCACGCACTTGAGCAGCGTTGGCTTGCAAGGGAGCGGATCGGGGCAGAGGTGCCTTGGGCTGAGGGGAGGCGCGAAGTTTGTGCCGAGCTGTTCAGTTCGCCCTCGAACCCGCAAGACGAAGACGACGACTATGCTGAAACAACGAGAGAAACATGAGCACAAGGCTTCGAGGAAGCGTTTGCACGAGATTGACAAGATGGCTCCTCCAATAGATCCTGATGACGATGAGCAAGAAAACCAGATCGGAAAACCCGCCAAGAAACTTCTCAAGTAACATCCAACACACGAAGCTTCCTCTCACCTTCCCTCCCAGGCAAAGGAAGAAATGGAGCCTCTCGGACAGGGGGGGAAGGATCTCGTGAGTGGTCAGTGGACGGTGGAGGAAGAGACTTACGGGTGGGAACAGTTTGAGACAAGCTCGATCGATGAAGGGGCTCCGCTTCCTGAAGACCATCAACAAGGTCTTTTGCCATGTTGTTATGTCTGGTCTAACCAACTGATCCAGACCAGTCAAGCACGCAAAAAGTGGCTGGAGGGGGCAAGAAAGCCAAGAGAGGCACGAGTGATCCCGGGGGAGGGAGGAGAGGAGAGGAGCGGCGATGGAGCTGCCCAAGAGAGCTCTGTTGAAGGTGCTCCAAGGAAGGATAGGTCGAGAATGGTGGACCCTGCACCTGCAGCAGGTAGCTGTCGTCCGGTAGGGAGGAAGGAAACTTCGGGGAAGAATGACGCAAAGAATGGTTTGAAAGAGAGTCTCAAGGTCAAGACAGGCAAGAAGTCCAAGTCAGAAGACATGTACAGCGATCTTACCTTCTTCTCATCACCTTTCTGGAACGGTCCTCGGTCAGGGTTTGCGTACAAGAAGGGACCCAAAGGACTTGGTTACTACAGAGATGCCTGGCTGATGAGGAAGAAAAAGCTGCAAGAGAAGAGAAACATAAGGGCGAAGGAAGGAGCGAAGAAGTAGAAGCGGACGCAACACTTGTCTTCAAGAATGACGCGCTCCTGGGTTGAGATACCAGAGAATTCTGACTTGACACTCAACAATCTGCCATATGGAGTCTTTCATTGAGCTCTAGGGCACCAAGGTGTGGGGTTGTCATGGAAGATATAGTCGTGGACTTGTCAGTTGTCACTTGCCTGCTAGGGGGTATTGGAAGTTTGGATCCCTCGTGACTGTGGGAATTGTCAGAAATCTGATCGATCTGGGATAGCTGCGGCGATTGCAAGTCATCCTCGAAAACCATGTAAATATGTACAAGTACGCACATGAAAGTCCTCGTTGCCGTGAGTTCCAAACGTTTTGTAAGATGGGGGTTGTAGTGGATCGGAGGGAACAGAAATCAATTTTATCTACTTTACATGGGCCCATTGAACTTGCAAGCTACTTGATCGAGACGTTTGCAAAGTTCGTTCTCCTTCTCCTCGTGTTGTCCACCATCACCTTGCGGCTCAACCTGTCCGTCTCAAGACCTATGGGATGCTGGTCAGAGGACGACATGACAAGTGTGCTTGTGAGGGTTTCGAGGAGGAGGAGGTGGAGGAGGAGGAGGAGTGAGACAAGTAGAAGAGTAGACAGAGGAAGAGGAGGAGCAGGTGGAGGAGGCTGTGGTAGTGGTGGAGGAAGGAGGCGGATGGGAAGGAGTAGGAGGAAAGATCATGGCAGAGGGGATAACAATGATGGAGAGAGAGGAGCTACGAAGAAGAAGCAGGATAGAGGCAAGGGACGAGGCAGTGAAGCCAGAAAGAGAGGGGAGGAGAGGAGGAGGAGAGGAGGAGAGGAGAGGAAGATCAACACACCATTAAGTGCGTTCATCAGTTGTTGGGTCCGGGGAGAGGGTCTATCACGTCATCAGCATGGCAGGGAAGAGCCGGGCCCTCGCTCATTACCTGGCCCCCTCCGAGGGCAGTCGCATCAGCTGCGAGGAGGTTGCGGCAGCCTTGGCAGAACCGCCGTCCTGTGCTGAGCCTCTGGGACGATCGAAAGTCTTGTCGTAGTTGGGAGGTAGGGGCTGAACCTGAGCCAGGGGGGTGAGGGAGGGAGGAGTGAGTGAGTGAGTGAGTGAGTGAGGGAGGGCGAGGGAGAAAGATGGGAAGCACGACCAAGGGGATGGGAGACAGGAAGGAGAAGAAGGAAGGATAGGAGATGGCGATGGAAGAGATGTACAAAGAGAGGGAGAGGCGGGAGGGCGACGCAGCACGGGGCAGGGAAGGGCGAGGGAGGAAGCTGAAACAAGGGCAGGAGCGTGATCGCGATCTTCGTCAGTGACTCACCGGCAGACCGGAGAATCGTCGATACTTCTCGTTCTTGTTGGGAGGTTCTATGAGGGCTGAAGTCTCGAACTTCATCAAGGAGGAGGAGGAGGACTTGAGTTGCTGCTCCTGTTCGCTCGCTTCCTCTGCTTTCTTCATCGTTCTTGAGTTCAGCTGCCTTGCCTTGTCTGCCTGTAGCGCGAGGAGGCTGCCCGGGAGGACCTGCTTCCTGGGCGTGAACTCAGAGTCTGCGGAAGAGGCGGCGGAGTCGGCGAGGGGAGGTTTGCTGCTGGTGCTGCTGCTGGTGCTGACAAGATTCAAACTCCGCTGTGAGATGGTCTTGATCCTCGGGCTCTGATTGGGAAAGGCGACGCGGGGGATCAGATTCCTTGCGGTCTGACTCCCTCCTCCTCCTCCTCCTCCTCCTCCTCCTGCGCTGATTTCGGATGACACGATGCTGTCCTCTCTTGAACGGCTTGGACGGGCTGTTGATGGCCTCCTCGGCTGATGAGTCTTCTCCTCCTGCGCTTGGATCCTCTCGTAGCTGATGCGCGAGGCCCAGCCTGTTGGAATGCTTGAGTCAGGGAAGGAGGAAGGGGAAGGGGATTGCAACATTCTCTGATGATGGTGGTGGTGGTGGTGGTGGTGGTGGTGGTGGTGATGATGATGATGATGATGATTATATGATGATGATGATGATGATGATGATTATATGATGATGATGATGATGATGATATTGCTGTTGACGATGTTGATCAAGATTCAATGAGATGCTGGCAGTGAGGGAGAACACAACCTGGAAGCGGCCTGTTCCAGATGCTCTCCTTGTTCAAGATGCTCCCTAGGTCCTCCTTATGCACATCCAGCCAGTAGTTCACTCTCGCCTCCTTGCTGGGAGGGGGCCACCACTCTCCCCTGTGGTTCAGGACGCGATTGAGCACGAGCTTCGAGCCGAACTCGCATAGAGACCCGTCAGGGTTCTTGAGGAAGAGCTCTTCGTCCACTGTGCTCTGCAGGTGCCGCTGGCTGATGTGCTGCTGCATCCCAAGCTTCAGGTTGCTCCACCACGAGGTCAGACGGATCGCCGCAAAGTGTTTCATCCTCCTCTGCTCAGCGTTCAGCTCGGCCAGGTGCTCCTCGCTGGCCTTGATCAGGCTGACCCTCAGCTGGCAGGAGGGGACAACCTGTTCCTGCTCTACCCCTCCCTTCACCTCCAGCTCCGACCACTCCTTCTTGATGTTTTTCAGCTCCTTCCAGTTGGACGGGGAGTCCAGCGCTATCACCCCCCTCTGCTCCCTTCCCAGGGTGAGCATGCAGATGGGTATCATGACGACCCCTATGGGCTCGGAGGTCCCCCCCTGCCCACCAGCATCCCCCCCTTCCGTCTTGTAGACGACGATGGACAGGAGACGATTCTCCAGGAGGATAGGGATCTTGAAGTTGTCATCCCACCCCAGCCTTTCTCCTGAGCACCTGCTGGACTCTTCCTCGGGCGTCTGCTTCCTGTCCAGGAAGAAGCCGAGGTGGTAGGAGGCGGGCTCCTGTTGGGAGGATGGGAGGGCGTAGGGATCGTCGATGACTGGGATGTTCAGGGAGGTCACCTCGAGTACCATAGTCCTCCTCTCCAGCACAGGAGACGGCAGGTCAAACTGTGTGCCCCACTCCGGGATGTCCAGCACGGCGGCGGATTTCATCAGCTCGTTGTTCAACTTTGCGGGCTGCCAGGGAGGAGACTCCGACGCCAGCAGCCGCCCCAGCAGCTCCCCCATCGGGGAGTAGAGGCTGAGAGAGGAGGATGCGAAGCCGACGAGGAGGAGGCAGCCCTTCCGCCCCAGCTCTGTTCGTGTCCTTGCTGTGCTCGATGCAGGTGATGCTGGTGACCGCGGAGCTGTCCCCCTGCCACCTGCTGATCAGCTTCTCGTCCGTGGCCTCGAGGTCGAGCTTCTTGGAGGCGCGTTTGAACATCAGGGAGGTGTTGAAGAGCCTGGAGGAGGAGGAGGAGGAAACGATACTGGCTGTCCTCTTGAAGCTGAACTTCCTCGCCCTGAACGATTCGACCTTGCTCTTGACTGCATTCCTCAGCAGCGTCTTCACGTTGAACACGTAGATGTTACCCAGTGCGTCTCCCACTGCCAGCAGGGAGTCCGACGAGTCCCCGGCCATGGCGCTGATCAAGTTTTCCCTCCTTTCGTCAAAGAACACCACGATCTCTGCCAGCTCCTTGGCGTCCGCCGAGCTGCAGATCCGAACTGTCCCGTCGACGCCCGCTGTAGCGTACAGGAAGCCCTTGGGGTAGGAGGCGCGGAGGGAGATGGGAACTCGGAAGAAGAGCATAGTCTCGATGGAGGTCTGACCTGTCACAGTGAGGAAGAAGGGCTTCGGAGGAGCCGACGTAATCATCCTCCCAGACGCCAGGTTCCAAACTTCGATCGACCCGTCGGAGGCGCCGCAGCAGAGAATGTGGTTGTTTGCGGACATGCGGTAGATGTCCGGCAAGCTGCCCGAAGTCCGGGTGAGCTGAAGGCGAGCAGGTCAGCGGCGGAGACGAAGCAGGTGGAGGTGGAGGTGGAGATGGCAGTTGAGGAGAGTGAGGACGAGAAAGATAAGCAGGGGAAGGGGGAAGAGAAGGAGAGGAAGACCAAAACGTTTGAAGACGCAGATCGGGGAGGGGGAGAGAAGACAAGAGGATTGTGGATTGAAGGAGGAGGAGGAGGAGGAGGAGGAGGAGGAGGAAGGAAGGAAGGAAGGAAAACGGTTCTCCCGTGTCCCCCGCTGACAACATGTCTCCTCTCCCTCACCTTCTTGAGGTACCTCACAAAGAACTCGCTCTTTGGCGCGCGGTTGGGGAACAACCAGACCACCCCTGACTCCTCCGCAGCAGCCACCACCCCTTCCGCCTCCTCCTGCTCCGTGGTGCTCTTGCTCGACTTGGTGCTCTGCTTTGCTATGGCGAGAGAGTTGATGTCCGTCCATGCATCGCTCACCTACCAGGTAAGTCAGCAGCAGCAGCAGCAGCAGCAGCAGCAGCAGCCGCCCCTCCTCCTCTTGAACTTGTTCCTCTCCTCTTGCTCATCCCATCTCCTCCTCTATCTCCTCCTTCTCTACCTCTTTCTCCTCCTCCAACAACCTACCATAACAACCATCCTGTCTTTCGTCAGCTTCCCCCCACCTCTTTCCATCCCGCTCCTCCTTCCTGCGCGCCTGCCTTACCAGCTTCTGTAAGAGGGTGCCAGAGGAGAAGTTGTATACGAAAATCCCTCCTCCGTTCCACCCGAGGATCAGCCTACACTGCGCAAGGTCCAAGGAGGCCGCAGTGACGCGTTTGTACGCGGAGGAGGAGGAGGAGGAGGAAGGGGTCGTTTCCTTGACCTTCACGCTCGACCCGTCCCCTCCTTCCTCTTGCTTGTTGTGCTGCATGAGGTTCCTGCTCGAGAGCGTGGAGGGTGCCTTGTCGGACGACGCCCTCCTGGTTGCCTTCCCGCCCTGCTCCCTTCCTGCCTCCCTTCCCCTCCTCTCTTCAGCCCCCCCCTCCGGCTGCCTCCTCCTCCTCTCCTCTCCCGTGCTCTTGGAGTTCGTCTCCTCCTCTGCCCCCGTGCTCGTCCTCGCACGGAACCACGTGATCTGCTTGCCGCTGCTGACGTCCCACGAGCAGACCAGCCCGCTGCTGTCGATGCTGAGAATCTGAGAGAAAGTCTGCGAGAAAAGAGTGGCGAGGATAGGATTCTTGTGCTCCTGCCCTGCAAGAGTGATTTCTTTCTTTGCGCTGTGCAACAAAAGGGCTATGTCAGTGGTCAGCACTTGTTCCTTCCTCCTCTCCTCACATTCTCTCATGCTCGTCTAGCTCCTCCTGCTCCCTCTCTCATGCTCGTCTAGCTCCTCCTGCTCCTCTCCGCCTTCCCTTTCTATCTCTCCTCTCCTCGTCAAACTCATCTTTCTTCTCACTTCTTGGATTCATCTTCATCTGCATTATTGACATACGAAAGATCTCAATACTCATTCACTTGCCCCCTTTTCTCCTCTCCTTCATGTCCCTCCTCCCTCCTCCCTCCTCCCCTCTTCTCCTTACCTCTGCTCCAGGAACTTAAGCTTCCACACAAACAAGCTCTTTCCTCCAAGTATCACATAGTCGTTCCTCCCTGCCCTCCCCCTCGCCGCCACCATGCGGGTCACCCTGACTCTGTTGGAGAGCATAGGATCGAGGAGGCAGGGGATGGAGCCGAGGAGCTGGTTGCCGCTCGTGCTCCACCACTTGATGACCGAGTGGGCGTCGAGGGAGAGGAGGATCTCTCGGTTACGGAGGAAGAGGAGGGAAATGACGGAGGAGAGATGTCCTCTCAAGTTCCCCACGTTCTTGCCCGACCATGGCTCCCAGGTCTTGATGATCCTGCAAGAGGTTTGACAAGGTGACATGGGAAGGAGGGAGGGAGGGAGGGAGGGAGGGGAGGGAGGGAGGGAGGGAGGGAGGGAGGGAGGGAGGGAGG